TGGGTTCTTAATTATACTCATGTCCTCATGTATTAGGTAGGCTACCAACTTTGCAATCACACCATTTTATACTTTTACAAAACTATGAAAGAGGTGATTGTCGTTTTTTATCACCAATTCTTTGTGTTTTTTTTTTCTTTTTTTTTTTTCCGTTAGAATGAGGCAAAGCCAAAAAGAAAACTACACAAGAATCCTCCGATTTATCATAAAACCAATTGATAATATGAGGAGTAATTCAACTTCTTATAAGCCCTTGCAAGGTTTTTCCTTTCACTGAGCATGTGAACAACACAAGTGGGGAGTGGGGTGAGATGGAGCATGTGTGGTCGTTGTGCTTCACAATTGGGCAAACATGCTCTGATTTCATAAAAAAAGTTGAGGTTTCACCATAAAACTAATTGGTAATATGGGAAGTAACCAACCTCTTATAAGTTCTTGCAAAGTTTCTCATTTCACCGATGTGAGACTCTTTTACCTTCACATCCTCACAACTAGAGAATATGTATATAATAAGAGATACCAAAGGTTGAAATTCTACAGACTTTGATATATAACAAATTAGTAAATTCTTGGTTGTATTTTTAGTAATTAAGTTTTAATTGAACACAACTAAACAAGATATAGGGCAGCCTCGTTGAAATGTACATGAAGATTTCCTCAACTTACACATTTTTCACTACTATTTATTGTACTTAGGAGCTAGGATAAAATGAAGTTTAAGGTTGATAATTCAAAGTGTATATATATTATAGAGTGTGGTGACACCAAACAATATAGTTTTGAACTTTTGACCAAAAGCACAACACAAATATTATCTTTGGAGAAATGGAAAAAAAATAACTAGAATTTTTGGAGCTTAAAATTAATTTCAATATCATTTCATTAATTATGTCCTTTCGTGACTGCATGCCTTTGAAAGAAATAGTAACTGTCGCAGCTTGAAACAAAGAAATTGAAGTAATTAGCAAATACATTATAAAGTCTGCAGGTCGTGCGATACAGCTTAAAGCCCAGATGCAATCCACTTGACATGGAGACGAAATTTATAGACGAACAAATTTCTGTGTTGAGACCCCGATTTTCGAATAAAAAAAAACAAAAAGAATACATATATATATATATATATATATATGTGTATGTATGTATGTATGTATGTATTATAAATAGGTCAGGGGAAACTTCAGTGTATCGATAATACGCAAAATGAAATGGTAACAAAGAACGGAATCGAAAGAATTGGGTACCACTTGAGATTTTTCAGAAGTATTGGGGTTAGGAGGGGTCTATATCACTAGGACCTTGGGGAATGTAAAAAGTGGAACAAAACAGAAGCAAAGGTGACATTGCGCTTGAGGGGCTTGGAGGCCTAAAGGCATACAAAGGTGACATTGCGCTTGAGGGGCTTGGAGGCCTAAAGGCATACAAAAATCCAGCATGCAATGCTCTCTACATGCACGAGGGGGAACATGAGAATATAAACTTTCAGACTCAAAAGTTGATCGAGGACCACTGTTAATTTGACTTTTGTCATCTAATTATGTGGATGAGTTACATTAAATTTGACATCTTATTAAATATGTTACCGATCAACTGTTAAATAACTTTTTTTTAATTTAAAATTGTCGCTTATGAATGAACTTAATACATACTTCTACAAAATAAAAATTAAGTGTCACTAGACTAAAATTGATCAACTATTGAATTAAATATACATGCATCCTTAACCAAATGCACACACATAAATTAGGATTGTTTGTGTGTGTATATGATAGATCGAGTTTGTCAGATTCGCCATGTATCACGTAATCACGTGAAGTTTTGATCCTAGATTCTTTCTCGATTCAACATCAACCACTTGACGAAGATTTTTGGTTAATTTCAAAGAAAGAAAACAGAACAAGGAAGGAAGCAATAGACAATGACAGCCCTATTCTATGTCTTTTAAGTTACCTAATCAACAAGAAACTCGATATTGACTAATCAAACAAAATTTTCCTTTTTTGCCAATTCGCAAACAGTAAGAAACAGATAACATAAAGTCCATCATTATGATAGCAGATGCCAACATTCGCACTGAAATTGATTTCTTGTCGCATGGTTCTTGACTTGTTATTGTTAAGTTCACATTGAAGAACATCAAATTACTGTGTGGTCATATTTTTTGCAGGTCCTTTTGAACGTGTCAAGGAAAGAGCCAGATTGTCTGCCCTCCTGTTACCGTGCCCTTCCTATCCTTTTCTATTTATACGGTTACGGTTAAGTCATGTTAATATTTTATATTAATCTTTTAATAGAGATAATAAGACAAATAATAATATAAATGTAAAATATTGACGTGACTTAACTGTGATCGCACAAATAAAAAAGGATGGAAAGATCACGGTAACAAGAATGCAGACCATCTGCCACCGTCAAGAAACTCTACCTCCAAAATATCCTTCGTATAACAGTAAGCATGGATTTGACAAGACGGCAGCTCAAAGGCCCTCCTTTCTCTTCTCCGGCTACAGGACCATGTAAGCCCATGTGATGACATGTGGGCAACATGGTGGCATTATTTTAAGTGTTTGATCATTCAGACATTCTGGAAAAACGATGAATTTTTTACGATGACAATTGAGACTTGGTGAAGTAGTGGTCCTTTTGAATGACAAAGTACATCACCTTAGGGCTCAATTATACATGAATTGACTTCGACGGACATATGTATCTCGAGTCTGTGATTAGATTTGAGTGGTATTTAGAATTTGGGAGAAATCTTAACAATAAAAATGATTAGGGAAAATAATCAACTGTCTAATCTCAATAATAAAAGTACTTAGTATCTCATCATTTGCTTTCACTTAATGTATGAATAAACCTAAACCTAGTTGGATCGAACCTTGATGTTTTCAGTTACTTATTAACCATTAAGGAATGTTTTTGGATTATGCATTCAAGCTCAGCCTTGGTCCTTAACTTTTGTTTTTAAACTATAGGTCTTATCAACAGACTACTAAATTAGAAATTCGGATCCTCTCTATGAGAATTCCGTAGATTCGTAAATTGTATTCGTTCATCATACATCGTGCAGTTAGAAATCATTTAAAAATTTTAATTTAAAATTGAACACAAACAGTACTTGATAAAAACTGACTGCACGATGTACGATAAACGGACACGATTCACAGATCTCCAGAATCCTCACAAAGAGGATCTGAAGAAGATCCTGTTGGCAAATTTAGTACATAATTTTTTAGTACATGAACTCTTTGGTACAAAAGAAGCCAAAGATTGGGGAAGGGGTAGTAAGAGTCAAACCCTAGTGTGAAAGTAAAGGGATATCAGGGAGACCAACTATTTAGATCAAATTTTGTAAACTGTATGACGTGGTGGTTGATGATTGATTATTAAGTGTTGATTAAAATGTTAATTTTCCATTGGTGACACATCACATAATTTGCAAATTTGATCTACCTAGCATTACCAGAAAAAAAAAAAATATATATATATATATAGGAATTGTTATTAGCTCTTCAAAAATCTCATTCTACACTCCTCACAAGTGTATTTTTCTTTCTAATTATAGAAAGTTTATAGTGCCAAATGAGATTTTTGGAGTGCTAATAACAACTCCCTACATATATATATATATGTGTGTGTGTGTGTGTGTACTCTACCAATTTAGTTTCAAGCACCACATGAAGACGCATTTAATAAAATATGCAAGCAATTAGATGTGTGTTTGATCCGTTTAAGAAGAACTCAAGGCGTGCACCTCTACCATCTATAGTCATACCATAAAACAAATAGAAAAAAAAATATTTTGATTAAAATTGAAACAGTATTGAGGAAGACCAAATCACATTTGAATTATCATGCATTTCTGGGAACCAATACTCTTGAAGAATTTTTTTCATTCTTCGGTTATGTATAGAAAGATAGAAATAAAATGACTACAATTTTGGGTATTCACTTAAATCTATTCAAAGGCTCATTAAAATTGAATATTGATTATATTAACTAATATAGTATACAAACCTTGAGTTTGTGGTCCAGTGGTAAAAGGAGAATTGCAAGGCTTCCTTTAAACTAAAAACTAGAGGTCTTAGATTTGAAACCCGTTGTTGGTGTGGAAGTCAGACTTGTGGTCAGGGGGAGGTTGAAATGCCTCTGTGAGTCTTCCCGACCCTCCGGAAGGTGTGGATAACTGTGAGGTGCGGATAACCGTGACTTGCCGTCAGTTATCTTCCTTAAAAAAAAAATTAAAAAAAAAAAAACTAATACAGAATACAAAAGACAGTTTCTCACGTAAAAGTTAAAAGGATGACAGTGGTAACATTGGTTAACTAATTCTAATTTGTATCAAACTGTTCAATGATCAATAATTTAATTGTACATCAAAATAAAAACGTAGCTTCTAAGGTTAAAAGCAATTATAAATGACTACGTTTTTCCAACAACAATAATCCCAAACAGTAGCTTTCAGTCGGAAAACCCACCAACATCCCAAGATCCACACAAGAAATAACAGCCCCAAGTCACTCCCACCCCCTTCACGTGGACATCTCGTGATATAAGTGAGTGCAGCTTCTTTCCATCATTGACTTTCCTTTTTGAATCTTTTCTTAATTAATGAACAGTGGCATGCATTTGTATACAAAGATTCCCCATCACCAAAAAATAAAAAGAGAAAAAGGAGAACAAAAGAAGATATTATTTGCAATTAAGCTACACAAAGATTCTTCCAAACCACAACCCCACGGAATTGGATGTTGATGGTGATGATTTGTGCCCTAAATCAAAAAACCCTACGCTCATCCATGCACCCTCTTGTTTTTAATCCCATTAGGTCCCACAATCACCATCCTTTTCAGTTTCTCACTCCCACTCATAGAGTATTCCCTCTTGTTTTTATTTGTCCCTTTGACACACACATATATATATACCCCCTCCGACCACCTGTTTTCTCACAGCAACCCACTCCATTTCCTTCTCCTCCTCTTTCTCAAAGAAACAGCAACACATTACAACCAATACTGCCCACCAGAGAAAACCTAGCAACCAGAAGGAAAAAATGTCTGGGGTTTGGGTTTTCAAGAATAATGGGGTGATTCGCCTTGTGGAAAATCCGCAGGCCGAGACATCTTCTAGGAGGAAGGCTTTGGTGCACTTGCCGAGTGGGCAGGTGGTGTCGTCCTACTCGATGCTCGAGCAAATATTGACGGGGTTAGGCTGGGAGAGGTACTATGAAGGTGATCCCGATCTCTTCCAATTCCACAAGCGATCTTCGATCGATCTAATCTCTCTCCCCAGGGACTTCTCCAAGTTCAACTCTGTTTACATGTATGATATTGTCATTAAAAACCCCAACGTCTTCCACGTTCGGGACGTGTAGACATCTGTATGACATCAGTTGGTACCTAACGTTGTGTGTTAGTCTCGTTGATATATTGTTGATTTCTTTTTCTTTTTTCTTCATATCACTAGCTTACTTTGTTCTTTTAGTGATTGATATGCTTTTGGGTTTGCTGGTATACATCGGGTGTAATAAAGAGTACATCTACATGCATGGTGATTGTGTTATTTGGGATATATTGGGTTGCTTTGTAAAATATTTTGGCTTTGTATCATCTGATAATAATAGTGTATATCATTGAAAGAAGCAAATGGATAGACTCTATTTACTTTTTGTTAACTATAATACTTAAGCACAGCTCGCAGCTATATATGATCGATGGCAGTTTGGTAACTACGATACTTATATGATTGTGTGAAAAAGAAGGGAATTGAGCTAAATATATAAACGCTGAATTTATAAAAGATGACCGATTGGTAGTTACTTAAATCAAATCTGAATTCAAGATTAAAGTTCTGGGAAGTTAATTAGTTACAAAGCACGTCATACTCGCTTCAACGTTTGCTCATCTTCATGCCTACAAAAAGCCCAAGAAAGTTCTAACACCTCTTTCTTTCATTGTTCTTGATTACTTTTGTTTTCTTTGTTTTCAACATCGCAAACAATGTTTGTTTCAAGTTTTGGGACGGGATTATTATTTTGAATGATTAAAAGCTCGGAAAATCAATTAAAAACAGATATACACAATTTTCTTCATAACATGCAATTATGTTAAGTACATAACAGGCTAATTGATACTCTAATCCAACCACACAAAGGTGTACTCTAAAAGAAAAGCTATATTTTATTTTCACATTATCCAAAATCCGATCCAATCATAAAACACGAGCACTTTTGCAATATTTGTTGATTGGGTTTTGATTGGGATTCTGTAAAAGTGACATGGTGAGGTCCCCAACGTGGAGGAAGATCAAAATCTCAACATGTGACGGGCGTCACGTGAACATGGAACAGTAAGATATCACGAGCCAGGTGTACCATGCCACGTGTCATAACGAGATTGTGGGTTCACTTGAGCTTTTCGTTTGACAGACTGTGTGTGCACGTGGCACAGCCTTTTAATCAAGAAAACGAAGTTGATGTTTGTGTTGTTTTCTGGGAAATTAAAAGAAAAGAGAATTAAAACCGGTCCAAAGATTTAGCAGCGTGACCACACGGCCTTTTTCAGAGACTATGACTGTAACCAAATGAATTTAAAGAAACAAGATACGACGTTTTCCTAGCACTGTGCACGCAACAACAAATGATGAGATCAAACTTACTATGTATAGTAAGGTTATTAATTTGTTGAAAAATTATGAAGTAAGATGGATAATGTTTAGGATATTAAAATTTTAAATCAAATGTGTAAATTAAAAGTGTTACTAATAGAAAATAAGCACTTTAATCGACATTACTATATCATTTGGTTTGCAGATTTTGGTTTAAAAATTGATCTCCCGCATTACCCATTAATTTTCCCAACACAATTTCCTTACAAGGAGGTATTACCAGATACTGAAGTGAATTCTTTTATTTAATTAAGTTAAATATCGGTTCTTAATCAACTAAGTCACAAGCATGGCTAGCTACAAATTAAGCATAATGGATTAACAAAAAACACTAACAAAGTGAAATGCTTACAATTAATTACCAGTGTGTCAGTAAGTATGATATTAATTTAGGGGAGGGGGTGTTTCGTACCCAAGACGCATGGTTAGAAACCTAATATTCTATCTATTAGAATATTAGATCACATGCATAATATTAAGATCATTCCTAGCTTCGGACCCAAAATCAAATTGGCCACCATATTCGCTTCCACATTGGTTATTTTCCATCTGCTTTGGCAACACTAAAACATGACCCATTTTATCATAATCCTCAGTATCTATGGCATTGTTCGAACTGTTTACATCAACCCCACTCAGCTTTGCATAGTCACAGTCCAGAATTTTGCAAAAATCTTCATCGTTGGTAAAATCCCTCGTAAAATGTTGGGAATTTCCTACCTCTTCTGTTTTTGTTGTTGATGGTGAGTCAACTGAAATTAACAGTGTTGACAAAGCTGACATATATGGGCTGTACTCCTACCCCACATTAGGGTTAGGGTTTTGGTCTTTTGCTGTTATAGAGTGACAGTTATGCCCCCGTTGTCCCTTCTGCCTGGCCAGAAATCTGGGGCCTGATCAGGGGTTTTGAGATTGTTGCCATTTGATCTGGAATTATTGAATGGTGTCAGATCTTGCTCGCAGATGTGATGTTACTTTTGACACTCTCCTCCCATTACAAAGCGAATGGGATTTTAAAGTTTCTAAAGTATTGAGTTTAATGTTTTTATTTTGTTTTTATTTTTACAAACGATAGAAATAAATATTAAATTCTTCTAAACTACCTATAAATTTGTGTGTAAAAGAAACAACAGATTGCTTTAATCAACATTTCTTTCCTCCAATCAGATTGTCATATTTGATTGGGTTTGTTATTGGCTTCTGCACTTTATTTGTTTTTGTATGGGTTTTCACATCTGCTTCTGCAGTTGTACTTTCTTTGTTTTTGTAGAACGTCTGAGCGATCGAATTAAGATTTTCAACCACATTCATTCAAAAGATAATAGTGTTAGTCACCAATTTTTTCATCAAATTTATTCAGTGTGAGCTCAGACTTACAGAAAATGTAAAAAGATGTCATATTTAATTTTGAAATGGTCTAAACTCCATACGTTAAATTCAAACTTAGGTGCATCTGCGTCGGATGCAAACATATGTTCTAATTAATGTGACCATCTGCAGACATTGAGCCTTTCGCTAGTGATTAAAATTTGTTTTCAACAAACTTGAGAAATCTGATAAAATGAGGATTTTACGACTCTTAATTACTCAAATGATCGATCAAATAATGACGACGATCAAATATTGGGAAAATTCTTCCATGCTACGAGTATTCGATGACCTAAATTGGTTTGAATTATTGCTCCAATCTAGCAATCATTTTCAGCAGAAACAACACATGATTAAGTCACTTTCTTCCTGCTATTTTGCTAATTAGATATAAGATTAATATTGAAAAGTAAGACCGGTCCCTTTATATCAAGTAGTGCAATCTGCCTCGTAATTTTTCAGCGGCAACAGATGATAAAGGAAAGGAATGAGAGGTAGAAATGGAGAGGGAGAGTGTGACGAAAACCAAACTACAAGAGAGGAAAAGGAAACATAATATAAAATGACTTTTTTCTTCGGATTCGGGGATGCTCGTTGTTAAAGAGTGTCATCACGTTAGGTATCAATTCACGAAGTGCTTGATTCTTTATTCAGGAATGGAGTTCGTTTGGCTATAGTGTCATCTCAATCTTCAAAATTTAGGCACGGATGATTTCAATACTTAGATATTTTCCCTTCAGAGTGCAAATGGAATGGAGTGTCTGATAGCCGTATCTGATATGCTACAAACTCAGGAGTGACTCGCCACATCTTAATTATATGCATGACTTATCACATAAGATGGTGTAAAAATGTGGCATCGCTGAGCCGCCTCTGCTCCTCCTCTGCTTCCTGAGGTAGTAGGCTTTTGGGACAAGCCCATATTTCGGGCAACTGGTTCATCCATTTAGGCTTTGAATGGTGAGGGACAACAGTCGGAAAGAAAGTATTGCTACAGAGTCCACGTCCTGTTTGATTTCAAGACCTTGATCACTATAGTGAACGACTGAACTTGTTATCAGGACAGCTATTTGAAATCAGTGAACGACTGAACTTGTTATCTCACAAGTAACATTTTATGATCAACCAAAATAGCAAGGGCGGTTAATTGAACTTTAATACTGAACCCACCAGAAGATCCAGGGATACATATTAGATATGGAAAGAGTAGTACACATTACAGCACTCATATATAAGTACTTGCAATCCTAAAGACAATTAAATTCGTGACGAACATTAACCATATGCTGCTGACTTGTAGTGAAACTCATCGATCGTGGAATATATTAAACCTTCCTCCTCAAGAGACCTGATAGCTTCCCTGGAATAGCAAAGCGAAATTCAGCATAAGACAAGATAAAAGATAATCCAGGAGAGAGAGAGAGAGAGAGAGAGAGAGAGAGAGAGAGAGAGAGGGAGTACAAGATCTTTCCCACAGGAACTTTCAGGTGCTGGGAAAGTTCGTCTCTGTGTATCCCCTTTTCTTTTCCACTGCAATAAAAAAAAGTCCCATAATTGAACACAGTAAAAAGTTGAAATTAAGCACCCGCAGCCAATGCATCTTACACGAAAAGAGGTTACACTAAGAAAATCAAATGAGGAAATAACTTCATAGTGAAATTGTGACTCACATGCTTGATGGCTGCTGCAGATATTCAAGGACCAACTGATCACAGCTCTTTAGTCCATCAACGCTAACTTGCCCGGAGAACTACAAAATTGAACATTAATTGCTTGGTAAACAAGTAAAGACAGTTTGAGATGTAATTTTACATAATCAGAGAACATACTTGGTTTGACGGGGCTGTCTGATATCCAGTTGATCCACTCCGCACAGGAGTGTTCAGAGATGAGTCCATAGGCTGCGCTTGAGTGGCAGCATTCCCTTGCAGCTTTAAGGAATGTAAATACACCATAAGTAAATTAACAAATTATGAGGTACAGTCTATCCAAATTCCTCTTCAAGCTAATGAATGCACAAAACAAAGTAATTCTTCCATCAATTCAAAATAGTAATGATACCTGTAGCTTGGATGTCAGCAGGTGGGTATGTATGCACTCAATGAAGTGGAAAGCAACTTCGTCAAAGTTTTTCACAGGCCTGGAACAAATTCAAGGCATATACTATTAATTTTAGCATGAGTGGTCATTAGGCAGTATGAACAAAGCAACACAACGATTATAAATTCATCAAAAATATGATAAACAAAAGCACCCAAAAAGAGTACTACTAGTCTGCATCAATCATGCAGTAAATCAACAATAACAGAATGCTTGCCTTACAGAAAAATTACAACCAAAACTGATGAATGAAAAAACATTTACTCAGTTATCCAAAATTAAATTTAATACATTTTCCTAGAACAGTTGTCCAAAATCTAGCATCTTTGATTACGCACAAAGGCCTCGTGTGTTAAAATTGGCATGGATAGGACCATTCACTACATTGAAGGCATTTCAAAGGAAGAAATGGGTGACAACTACCTTATTTTGTTCAAGTTGAAGGTTAATCATGAAGAAAATTTTCCCTTTTAATCCTACCATTTTTGTGGGGATAAGTCGGGATATCTTTTCATCATGAGCAACCTTCAACTTAGATAAAAATATGAAAGTTGTCATCCATTTCTTCCTTCAAAAAGCCTTCAAATTAGTAAATAGTCCTATCCAAGCCAATCCTCACTTACAAATGAGGCCAAAGACTTCAACATAACCTAGAGGACAAGGGGAATCTCCCAACAAATTAAGAAATTTTAGAGCCAGATCAAAATCTTAGTAGTTACAAGATATCTCCACTAATAAATTTACAAATCCATCTTTATCTTGCTTCAAACATATAAGATGCAATGTTTGTGTGTGTTCACAGGGCACCTATGTGTATACTATGTACAAATATTAATATGTGACAAGGCCTCCCGGCATCATTCTTCAATTGAAAATCCGAAATTAGCCATATGAAACGAGATCTACAGGCACTCAGAGTTATATAAAAAAGGAAGTTTTCTATACCCATACCTCACAGAGAAGGCAACAATCTGTCGAACACCTTGAAAGACTTTCAAGTGTCCATTAACACGAACATACATTCCATCTCTGTTGCAAAATAGATCAAGACATGATATTATAATAAAGTCACAATGTTTTGGTCACTCAACAATCCCAATATCTATATATGAAGTGTCGAAATTTCAATGGAGAACTCACTGATGATAGTGAGAGGAACTTACTCTATTTCCTGCATTTCTCTGGAGTCAAAATTCTCATTCACCCTGTTAAGAAACAGAGAGATTCAAAACCTAAAACATTTCGGGTCTATCTATATAATCAAAACACCTTTTTAGCTTAGTTATAGATTGTGCATTGCATTGAGCACCAAAACGCAATAAACTCTTCAAAACAGTTAACAATGTGACAATGCAAAAATTACCATCTTCGGCACTTGATTCGCCCTGTTCCATCATCCACGGTGAAATCAACATCAGTGTTCCTTTCGGCTTTGTCAAAAACCATCCCAACCACCGATACCTAAACCAACCAAATATCATATTAACTGAAACATTCTGAAAATCTCTCTTTTTCCATTCAATTGATTGTTATGAGCAACAAACAATAAAATCGTGATGAAACTAAAAAAGGTGCGTACATACGTTAGCAACATCTGCACCGCTGATCACAAAGTTCGATTTTTCATCACCGGACTGATGGGCTTCGCTGATCTGCTTCACCGTCACGGGAACCAATCCGTGAGTTTCGCGTCTCTGAAACAACAAATACAACAAAAATACTTCCAAAATCAATCAAACAACAAAAATCAACGGCGACAATTGAGAAGAAAGTGAGCAAACACCGACTTCGCCAAAACCCTAAATCGGATTTTAACAAAAATCAAGCAAATTAACCTTCAAACATAAAATTAATTAAATATACTCTTATTTTTTCATTTTTTCACAGTTATTGAAGGAAGCGTTACCTTGGCCGGAGAGGGAGTGGAATCGCCGAATTGAGTGGACTGAGAAGCCATGAAACCGCCGCCGGAGAAGGCGTTCGTGGCATCGAATTGGGAGCCCGAGAACATCTTTGAAACCCTTGGAGAGAGAAACCGATCCGGAAAATGAAAGAGAGAGGAAGTGGAAGTGGCGGTATGATATGAACTGATGCTTTTATATGAGAACTTTAGGAAGGCAAGTATTCTTCCCGCCAATCTTGTTTAACCTTTTATTTTCCCGCTAAATCTTCGTCTTCTTCGTATGGGAAAAAAGACCCGGCTTTCACGGGCCAATCGAATCCGTCTTTATTCAATGGTAGGTAACACTGAAAGAATTGATTATTTACATATAGTTCATTAGACACTCATCAATTGTTTATTTTCTAGCCTAGCAAAAAATGTATAAAATTTTCTCGGAAGTCAAATAACCGATTTTTAAAATAATTAACACTATTGTTTGTCAAAAAGTAAAAAAATCATCCATAAGTGTAAATTTATACAAAAAAAAAAATCAGTCAATCTAAAAAAAAATTGCTAATAAAATGTAACCCTATGTCATGTGAAATGGAGAAACAAATTCATGTGGATATCTGTTATTCAGATTGGTCACGGTAAGTGGTAGGAAATCCCAATAAACATCTCATTTCTTCAACTTTCAAGTCTTTCATATAATTTGTTGTTTGTCATTTAGATTTAGAAGAAATGGTATATGAATTAGAAATTTGAGTTTCACATGGAGAAATGTCCTTACTTGGACATGTCACTCACTCTGAGTTCGAAAACATGATTCCATGCCCATAGTTGCGTGAAGTCGTTAGTCTCTAATTAATCCACATAATTTTGATAAGCAATCGTCTGATTTATCAGAAAAACCAAGAAACATGTCACAAAGATGATTGACGTAAAATACTTACAATCAGAGTTCACATGAAGCTAAGAACGAACCGCGTCTATTGAACAAAGTGAACACATCAACTCATCAGAGCGAGACAAACCTGATAAACGGATAACACACATGGTATATATTTTATAACAAAGCAAAAATGTTAGTGGGTTAGATAGTTAGTTGTTGGAGAAGAGAATCAATGAAAATTGTATAAAAAATGCACAAATATAATTATTTTCTGCAGCTATAGTAAAAAAGTATTTCAATTGAAGTGCTAAGATAATTCCCCTTACGGTGTAATTACTGAAAATATATAAGATAATTATAAAAGGGAAGAAAGAAAAATGACCGCAAGTTCATAACCGATGGAAGAAGAGAGGATTTGCAGAGTTGCCTATCACTTTCAGAGAGCCACTTTCCCACACGTTTGAACTTAATCCGTAACATTTCCTGTACAAAATTGTACGTGGATTCCCATCCATCACACAAAAGATAAATATGTTAATATCTTTTCAGTTTTCCAACTAATTTTTGAATTCGTTATTACTCGCTCTCTTCTTCCTCCTCCCCCTAACCATCAAAGTTCATCCCGTTCCCATTTCACTCTCTGAATCTCTCAGCCTCCATTCCCAGAGCAGAATCCATGAATTTGCTCTGCGTAAATTGCGTAACCGCAGCTCCGTTCCCTGCCAATCAGCATCTGAGCTCGCGAGCTTACACTGTGCCGAGCCGTAGAAATGCGCCGTCCAAGGCTCTGGCGTCGTTTGATTACAGGCTCCGAATGCGAGGAGGCAAGAAACCGTTGCGATTCCGAGTTTCTAATGCCGCTATCGAAACGCGGAGGAGCTTGGCGGCGTCTGCGGGCGAAGGGCAATTGACCAAACCTAGCGCCGCCATGGAGCAGCTCGACTTCGAACGCGGCGTTTGCGTGCCGTTTCGCAAGTACAGTCCAGAAACTGTATGAAACTGAACTCTAGCTCAGTGAACTTATCTCTCATATTTTATTAATTTCTTGTAAATTTTAGCGAAGTTTTATGTTAATCTTGTGATAATATGCAAATGATCAAGCCGGGTTGGAATTCAATTTATCCGTTAGGTTTCTGAACTGAATTCGAGTTTGATTTCGGATGATCCCCTAGTTAAAAATTGGATGTGTTTTTTTGTTAGTGTGAATTTGTTAGGCACCTTTACTCAATTTGGCATGAATGTCTTGATGTTATTTATAATTAGGTGAGAAATACGGTGTTGAAATCCAGAGGAGCAATTGTGTCGTTACTTTCGAGGGGTGTGGAGATTGTGTGGAGTTTGGGATTGTACTGGTCTACCTTGGCGTATGACTACTTCGTAGGAAGGGATGAAGAAGTTGTTTCAGATCGTGCTCGGCAGCTTAGAAACCTCCTATGTGATTTGGGGCCTTCTTTCATTAAAGCTGGCCAGGTTTGAACCTCACTCATATGAGTTATATCCTTCTGTCTTTGCTTAAATATGTCAGTTTACTTTCATTGGATTAACTGCAAAACTGAACTTTGTCATAGCAAAGCAAAATAACAGAAAATAATGCATCAACTGTAGGTTTACCATCAAGTTTTAATAAGAATAAGATGGATTATGCAATGAAGATGTACTATGTTGAGATCTAAAAATTTAGATGTAACGCTACATATATTAAAAAGATTGAAAGACTAGAATTCATTGTGGTCGATTTTATGCATTTGGGATTACGATTTTTAGGTTAATTCTAATATTTAGGTAATAATTCTTGATGAACAGATCTTTAAATTCATATTCTTGTGCAATTAAACACATGCCTGATTTCACCCATGTATTGAAAGGTTCTTGCAAACAGACCTGATATTATCAGAGAAGATTATATGAACGAACTGTGCATTCTTCAAGATGACGTTCCTCCCTTCCCCAATCAGGTAAAATCTCAATTTACCAAAAAGTTATTGGTTCCAGTTGCTTGCATTTGTGATGAGACACTTCTACTGTGTGGGGTTTGCTTAACTTATTCTAGCATATGGCATGCATTGCTTCAGGTTGCCTTCAACATAATAGAAGAAGAAATGGGGCGACCCCTTGAAGCTGTTTTCAGTAAAATTTCTTCTCAGACGATAGCAGCTGCCAGTTTAGGTCAAGTATACCGAGCTACGTTACGTGACTCTGGCAAGGAAGTTGCTATTAAGGTTTACCAAAGGGCCTTTTCTTAGGTCATTAACAGCTCTACAGTTAATGTGTTGTGACAATGCTGAAAACATTACTGCGGCAAAAATGTTGAAAAAAAAAAAATCTAATTTATGTTTTTTTCACTTACAGGTTCAAAGGCCGCAGATAGAACCTATAATATATCGGGATCTTTTTCTGTTCCGAACTCTTGCTTCATTCTTAAATGGCATCAGTCTGCAGAAACTGGGGTGCAATGCTGAGCTGATTGTTGATGAATTTGGTGAGAAGCTTTTGGAGGAGCTTGATTACACTTTGGTACCTTTCAGACCTGTGCTATAGGAGGACAAAAATTAGACTTTGGCGCCATTATATAGCCTATGGCCTCATTAACATTGTCATTTCAATGCAATTTAAGCCGCTTTTTTTCTTTCGACCTTCTAATTAGTACTCCAACTCTCTTTCCTCTAAACAGGAAGCCCGTAATATTGAAGATTTTCTTCTGAACTTTGAAGGTGATCCTACTGTCAAAATTCCTCTAGTTTACAAAGAGCTTTGTAGTTCACGTGTTCTAGTGATGGAGTGGATTGATGGCATTCGGTGCACTAACCCACGGGTATGATTGTCAAGATAAAAGACGGTATTTTAGAGCAATGAGATATCATATCTATATCAATAATAACCTGCCCTGCATTTCAGGCTGTTAAAGAAGCTGGTATTGATGTGAATGGGTTCTTAACGGTTGGAGTCAGTGCTGCATTGCGGCAATTACTGGAATTTGGGTTGTTCCATGGGGATCCACATCCTGGAAATGTTTTTGCCATGCGTGATGGGCGTATTGCATATGTGGACTTTGGGAATGTTGCTGTGCTTAGTCAGGTGAAATATGCACTTCCATGGTATTCAGTAATTAATGAATGAGAGAGTAGTAAAGCCCCTTTTTTTTTTATCTTTAGTACATCGGCATCTGACACTTTGTTGATTATTGAGGTACAATGAGAGAAATCAATGTAAAAGGGTATCTCTTTCCATCGCATCCACGGCCAAGATGCAAAGATGTATCACTTTCCCTTAGTTCAGAGTCTTGTAATATACTCTTTTAAAATTTGAAATCTTCAATTCTCCTTATGGCCACGAGGGTTAACATAACATTGTAACCATGCATACATGGACCATGACAGCCCAGCCACCAAAACTATTGCATTTCTATTGTCTTTATGAAAATAGAATGTTTTATATTTGCTATTTTTTTATTATGGGTTAGTAACGTTAGTTTATTTTAATTTACATGTCCTACATGTTGATCTATATTTTAATTTTTTCAGCAAAATAAACAAATTTTGATTGACGCTGTTGTCCATGCTGTAAACGAGGACTATGTTGAGATGGCAAATGATTTCACCAGACTTGGCTTCTTGGCTCCTGGGACCGATGTCTCTCCTATTGTTCCAGCTTTAGAATCGATATGGCAGAACTCTGTTGGAAAAGGACTGTCTGACTTTAATTTTCGAAGCGTTACCGGTAATTTCATGTCCTAAAGTCTTTACTTTTACTTCCGTTTTTTGTTTTCTTTCCATGGAAAATCTACGTTGTTTTAGAACTCTTGGAACTTGGGAATGCATCTCCCTTGTCTACATTATATAATATACATTGTGGTTTAGAATCATTAGATGTTCATTTGGGACACTCATAATATTTGAAGCACATTTGCTCGGGGATGTAAGAATTATAACTGTATAAAGATGACATTTAGCATAATTTGTAAAGTTCCTTGGCATTATACTACATCAGTCCGGCTTCACCACGATTAAGGGTTTATAAATTTACAGAGAGCTACCTCTTACTATGTTTTGTAATAAAAGATTACAAAGTATTATTGCTGTTATAATATTTTCACTGTCAAAAAATTGACAAGAGTATCCTATAGAACACCTCACTGTTGTCAGCTAACAGTAAGGGTGTCTACTGAAAGCGAGAGTTAGGCAAGGTTGATTTTAGTTCTCTAATGTTAAGATTTTAACTGGAAATTGTATGATGCCTTTGCTCTAGCTTACTTGTCAAATTTATAAATTTTATGTCGGGGTACCTGGTAATGTTGGGAGTTACCTCATTCTTATAATAGAACATTACATTCAAATTCATTGTGCATGTGTGTGCATGTGTGTGTGCGTGTGCAGACTGCTGATATGTTTTCTATTACGATTTAGTTGCCTGCAGGGTTTTCTGATGCTTTGAGGGAAATGAATAATTGTGTTT